AACATGGATCTAAACTCTTACACGAGTAGGCTTACAAACGCTATGCGTTCAGTTAAACCTGCTCACACTCGACCTCAATCAACTGATGTTTTCGTTCAACCCGAATTACGACATAGTAAACACGTCTTCGTTCGTCGAGACTCACATCGACGACCCCTCGAATCAGCATACGAAGGACCCTTCAAAGTTCTTCAACGCGAACCTAAGTACTATGTAGTTGATAAGAACGGTACGAAAGATAGCATCAGTATCGATCGACTCAAAGCTGCGTACCTAGAAGGAAACCCTAGCTACGTCGAATTTCCTTCGGTACAAGCAAACGACACAGCTACTACACTCGTAGTACCCTACACGACAACCGACACACAACTTGATACTTCGTCAACGTCGATAGAAAAACCTAAAACAACGCGTTCTGGAAGACGAGTAAGATTTCCAGAACATCTTAACGAATATTGCACGTAGGACATAAGCTTTATCTGGAATTACCCTTTCAAAGTTTATTATAAATTTTTTTTAATATGCTCATTTTTTATTTATGTAAAAAAAACAAACAAAAAAAACATTTTTTTGAACGTATATATATATATATATTTATATATTAAAAAAAAAACCATAAGAAAACCTTTTTTCCGATCGCTTTTACGCTGTTTGTAAGTGTATCAGTTTATTTTTTTCCGCTCATCTTGTGTCCTTACGCAAGTACGAGTGTATTTTTGACATGCACTCACACGTTTTATTTTTCCTCTTTTCCAGGACGGCTGGAAAAGAACGACGAAGTTTCGCAAGGAACAGAAATTTTCATTGTACTATATTTCTTTATTTGCTACGTTGTACATTTTGGTCCCATAGTTTAAGGAAAGACGACCAGACGCTGCTAAACGAAGCAAGCTATCAGAAGAGTGTTTACCAACGACAAATTCGTTGGGTTTAAACTTCTGGCTGGTCACGTCTTAGGGGCATCACTACCTCACTAGGGGGGGAGTGATCTGTAGCTGTAAATAATTCCCCAAAATCAATAGCTCATTAAGTGTTCGACATTGGATGCTGACCACGTTGTTTAAGTGGACTTGTTTAGCTGAAGGCTTTCGGTCATGCATCCGCACCAGATCACGTTTCAATACTGCGTGGGACACAGCTCCTACGTTTCATTAGCCAGCTCATAGAAAAGGTCCTCGATATATTGGTAACGAATCAAATATATCTTTCCTGCCTCTTCTCGTTTGACTTCTGATTTTCTATCCGACTGGTAACAACCGAATTTAGAAGGTGCTACTGGTATCTAGTTGTAAAACTAGAATATCCGTTGCATCTTCAACGTGTTACCAATACATAGCCAACCACATTTCTCTGTGTTGAGCTCTAGCCCCCAGCGTTTGCACCAGTCGTCTACTTTGTTGTGTTCATGTTGGATCGTTTGCATAGTACTTCGTACATCACCAATGTCAGCTTTATAGATGATTTTTAAGTCATCAGAGTAGAGGTAGGTCTTACCTGTAGTAAAGCACTTGCATATATTGTTGATATAAATTATAAAGAGCAATGGACCCAAGACACTACCTTGCACAACACCACTGGTTATTGGTCGAGGTGTAGATGTTGTGAAGTTAAGCTTGGTTATTTGGTATCTGTTTGTGAGGGAAGACTTAATCCATTGCAATAGGGGGTTTATAATTCCAACTGACTGGAGTATGTTGAAATGAAGATTATGGGGTACTTTATCAAAGGCTTTCTTTATATCGAAATAAAGTATAATCACTAGCTTTTTCTGGTCACGTATGCGAGTAACCTCGTTAAAGAAGTCTATCAAACATGTACTACATGATCTTGTTCTAATGAAACCATGTTGTGTTGGGTCTATTAGTTCTTCCTTAAGTAGGTGATCTGATAGTTGACTTTGTATCACTTTTTCCATTATGCGCGAAATAACTGGGGTGATATTTATAGGTCTGTAGTTTCCGACCAGGTTTCTCAGTCCTGATTTGTGTTTGGGAAGAACATTCGTTACCTTCCAGGCTTCAGGATATGTACCCGCCTCTAGTGATAGTGTGTATATTTTGAGCAATAACGTATGTATATCCGGCCCTGACATTTTATAGAGAATTGATGGTATATCATCGACACCAGAGCTCGCACTCGGCTTAAGGGTTTTGATGGCGGTATGTATACTCCTAATGTCAAAGTTTATGGTGATAATATAGTTTTGCTTATGCATTTTATGTTAACATCTGGGGCATTAGATGTATCCCCGTTTTGTGAAAACAATTCACTTAGAAGTTCGCATATGACGGTTTGGTCATAGTACGTCACGCCATCGTGCAGTAAAGAGTGAATGTTGTGTTCTTCGTTCTTTCTCATCCGTTTTGCAAGGAGCCGACATAAGTTTTGGACTTTAGATGCAGCTGTGAGCGCAGTACGTTCTTCTGTCTGTTTATTTTTGTTGTGATGACTTTGCACTCCTTCAAGTACAGAGTATACCTGGTGCAGGGCACTAAAGCCTTTTGATGTAAAGTACGTCTTTCTTAGTTTTCGTAGCTTAGACTTAGCCTTTTGGTTGATGTAGGGAGCAATTGTTTTGAAAGCAATTTTAGAAGGGATGGTAGTGTCTAGTGCACGTTTGGTGGTAGTATTGAATATTTTCAGTGTTTCTAAAAGGTTATCACTGGTGAAGAAAGTGTTCCAGTCAGAATGCTTCATAAGAAACCGAAAGTTACTCCAGTCCGCGTTTGCATAGTCTCTATATTGGAAACACGTATTTAATGTCTTTAATTTTTTCCTCTTGGCAAGAATCGGAAGGCTGCACTAGACTATTTTATGATCGCTATTATGAAACTTCTCGCCAACCACCATTGATGTTGGTGTGACATTGTGACAGAATATCAAGTCAAGAATGTTGTGATTTCGGGTAGGCCGGTTAACATGTTGCTGCCAACCGTGTATGTTTAAGGACCTTAGTATTCCTTCGTAGCACGGTGGGCCAGAATGTGTCTTCCAGTTGATGGTTGGAAGGTTGAAATCACCACAGACAATTTTGTAGGCGAAGTCAAGCGAGGCAGCCTTAGAAAATGACTCACTTATAATGGTGTCAGTCAGACTGGGGGTATTCGGAGCTCGATATATACATCCGATTAGTATTTTACATTCAAGGGTGTGTACAGTAAGCCATATCGAATCTGGTACTTTACTGAGGATATGATCACTAAAGATTTCCGCCCTCATATTTTTCGATACATATATGAGACAACCGCCACCCTTCTTGGTGACTCGGTCACAGAGGAAGAGCTCATACGTGTCTATTTTGAAGTATGTGTCTGTAATATCGGAGGACAACCAACTTTCCGTCATCAAAACAAGTGAGGGGTTGTGTAATAGTAATATATATACTTTACAATGCAACAAAAGTACGCCACTGGAACCAGTAAAATCTTAGCGGCCCAAACTAATGAAGATTGCGTCAAAACTCTGGTCGTTTTGTCACTGAAATACACCATCCAACTGAGTGCTACTAAAACTCATAATTTATTCAATCCCCTAATTTCAAAACAACCATCTGCCCACAACCGCCACATTCACTCACAGTATTGATAACCTTTATAGATTAAGTCTGAATGCCAAAACGACCTGATAACAGTCACACAACATGGGCGCTTCTACTAACAACAATATCAGGTAATTCCACACTTCTACCCTATGACGTGTAATTTCCTTAGTTGTCAGCGATTGCGTTGAGATGTCTTACAGTACACAATGTCCTACTTGTAAATTTACCTGACGGTTTTAAAAATTACCCAAGTTGACCTACGCTATATAATTCTTGACATTGTGGCACAAATATTACGTCTTCTTGGGCTCTTCCTGCCTCAGTAACTATACTTTGCAGTCCCAAACTATTGAGAGTGATACTTCGAATGATTCACGGTTGTGTTTATCATACTTTGATCACAAAGTGATGTTCAGCCTTCTTCGATCACTGAAAACTGTCCCTATCATCTATGGCCTCTTGACTGAACTCTCCGATAAGTCCCCAAACATACGACTCATTCATTCGACCCACCCTACTAACACAGTTCCCCCGACGATGTTGCTCTTTCTACTAAACCATCCCCATTCACTTCTCGATTGTAGACCACGTTGTTCATGCATCAGACGGACAACATGAGTACAAAATCCTTACACTTACATCAACCCCACCTTGAGACTTTCCAGTATTGCTTCTAGCGCAGACCCAGAAAAAAGTGGGTTTTACAACCCAAGGCCGTAAAATGAACTGCTTTCAGAAGTACCAGCCAGAAAATAATCATGTAAACTATTGAAACTCTGCTTAAAAAGATGACGAATCTCTGCATAAACGAATAATGACGACACATGGTGAAAAACGATGCTCTCAGGATATCATGAGGCCATTTCTTCTTCCGACAACCCGACCAAGCCTAATATAGGTATGTGGAACTTTCGGACTAAGTGGGACCAGTCGAAGACAAAACTAACGTAATTCAAGGGCAGTTGGCCAGAACCCTTTGATGAAGTCCTGAATGACTCATCTCCACTGAATCGGCTGAATACTGAGGTAGCAGATATAGACCCCTAAGAAGTTGATATCCCACAAACAATAAAAGAAATTAACTTGGCTACCAAATTATTCAGGAGTGACGAAGCAGTAGAACCAGATAGCATACCAGCCGAATCACTGAAGTCAGACAGAGAAGTAACTGCAAAGATGTTTCATGTTCAATTCAGAAAGATTTGGGAGGACGAACGACCGATGACAGACTGGAAAATACGATACCTCATTAAGACACCGAAGTTAGGAGATATCAACAAATGTGAAAACTTTATAGTGATCAAGCTACGACCATTGCCATGAAAAGTTTTCAACAGATTGTTGTTGAATGGAATAAATGATTCAGTAGACGCTCAACTCCCAAACCAACAGCCTGAATTTCATAAGAACCTGTCATTCAACGAAGAAAATGCTTAAATGGCTTATTACCCTTTATGTACCACTTCATAAGCTTTTTCTTCAGGTTGCATTCGACATTGCATTGTTTTCGAACATCACCATAAATTCAAGAATCTTCATTTAGTCAGGACTCATAAATTATTCACAACTATTAGAATCTGATTTTGTTACTCGGAGTGACCACTGTTAGCCAGCTCTGCAGAACCACATCACGAACTTTTAATTAAATTTTTTTTAGTTGAATTCGTGAATCGATCTAAGCTAGATCACCATTGGAACCCTCAATCTGACAATTACTGTTTTGTTTATATCTATTCGTCAGCCAACCAATCACATAATAACACATATCTGGCGTCGTATAAAGCTACACGTTTGAGTGTTAAACCTTAATGATGCGTTGGTTGCTGTCGTGTCTTTTCCTCGTCGCATTTGCGTCGTGCAGCAAGGTCCTTGAGCTCACTAAAGACAATTTCCATTCTGAATTAAAGTCTATACCAGTTGCTCTGGTGAAGTTTTACGCTCCATGGTAATTTCGAGTGGTTTTATTAAAACTTGATATTAAACAGGTGTGGACACTGTAAAAAACTAGCTCCTGAGTTCACTTCAGCCGCACAAGTTATATCCGAAAAAACTAACGATGTTAAGCTCGTTAAGGTTGATTGTACTACTCAAGAAAGTATCTGCTCAGAGTTCGGAATTAGTGGCTACCCTACATTGAAAATCTTCAGGAATGGAGATTTAGACGGTGAATATAATGGTCCAAGGAATGCAAGTAAGATCCATGTTATTATAACTCAGGTGCAGATGGAATCGCCAATTATATGATATCCCGAGCAGGACCTGTATCCAAAGAAGTCAGCACTGTTAGTGATGTAGAGAACGTCTTGTCAGACGACAAACCAACTGTGTTTGCTTTTGTAAAATCGTCTAGCGACCCGTTAATAAAAACATTCATGGCTCTTGCAAAATCAATGGTTGACGATGCTGTATTTTGTCATAGTCATAATAATCTTTTTGTAACTCCTAGTGACAAGTAAGTTATTGATTGCTTAATTAACATTTTTCAGCGAGTTGAGAGTCTACTTGCCTAAACGTCTTCGAACGAAGTTTGAGGATGACTTCGCTGTTTATAAAGGAGAACCTGAATCTAACAATATTAAAGACTGGATTCGCAAACATGGGTAAGGAAGTTGTCTCGTCTTATTTTCAATTTAGCCAGGGACTGGTTGGTTATAGATCACCGTCAAATACATTTTACTTCGAAAATTCCGATTTAGTAGTATTATACAATAACCAATCCATAGATACATATCCATCTGGAGTAAAATACTTAAGAAATCGTGTTCTCAAAACCCTTAAAGACAACCCCCAAAAATTCAAGAATTTGGTTTTCGCTTATAGCTTTGCGGACGATTTTTCTTATGAAATATCTGATTATGGTATAGAAGCGGATAAATTACCAGCGGTTGTGATCCAATCTAAAGATAAAAAGTACAAGCTTGAGAAATTTAGGTAAGTTTTCTCGTAATAATTATCTTGGTCTTAGTCTTGACGCATTCTCTGATTTTTTGAATAAATTTGAAGATGGTCTTTTGACCCCACATGTAAAGTCAGAACCTCTCCCAACAGACGACTCTAGTGCAGTCAAAAAGTTAGTTGCACTCAACTTTGATGAGATAGTAAATAACGAGGAGAAAGATGTAATGGTCGTCTTTCATGCTCCTTGGTGTGGTCATTGTAAAAATCTAATGCCAAAGTACGAGGAAGCAGCCAGTAAACTAAAAAATGAACCAAATTTGATTTTGGCTGCTATGGATGCAACCGCCAATGATGTCCCTTCGCCTTATCAAGTCAGGGGATTCCCAACTATCTATTTCGTCCCTAAAGGAAAGAAATCTTCACCTGTATCTTACGAGGTAAGTAAGTTGAGTCTTCTCACATATTCTTTAGGGTGGTCGAGACACTAGTGACATCATCAAGTACCTTGCACGCGAAGCTACTGAAGAACTTATTGGGTATGACAGATCAGGCAATCCAAAGAAAAGTGAACTATAGGATGTCTTTAATAATCTTATTTTTCGAAACATTGTATTCTATTTCCTCATTTTTATTGATTGTTTGATAAATCATAATTGTGATGTATTTCAACTTGTAGTTGGTAATAAACCTGTTTTTTGATTTATCGCCAGACAACATCCATAATCGAATTTTTCAAATGGGGATGCATACGTTTCTAGTTAGAAACATCTTATATTTTTGTCCCGTACGCTTCCTGTAATACTAACGAAAAGTTCGTTGACAACTTCACTTATCTTGGAAGTCTGATCAACCCTAATGGGTTGGTGTCTGACGAAATCTCAGCGCGGATTCGAAAAGCTCGTTTGGCTTTTGCCAACTTACGTCACCTATGGCGAAGACGAGATATCCGTCTATCAACTAAAGGACGAGTATACTGCGCATCAGTTCGCTCTGTTCTACTTTACGGTTGTGAAACATGGCCATTAAGAGTAGAAGATACTTGTAGGTTACTAGTATTTGACCACAGATGCCTTAGAAATATTGCTCGCATCTGCTGGGATCACCGGGTAAGTAATAGTGAGGTTAGACACAGGGTATTAGGGAACGATGGTAAATCAGGTGATGAATCTTCATCGACTGAGATGGTTGGGCCATGTGTTACGTATGTCTGAACACCGATTACCACGACGCGCTATGATGACTAGTGTAGGGGATTGTTGGAAGAGAGTTAGGGGCGGTCAAACCAAAACATGGCATCAGTGTTTAAAGTCACTAACTTCTAATCTGAGCCATGTTGACAGATGCAGACTACCTGGTTGGGGTCCGCGTGACTATCGTAACCAATGGTTGGAGACTCTAGGTGACATGGCTCAGAATCGATCACAATGGCGTAGGTGTATACACTCTTTATCTTCCTTTAAACCTTGAGACTAAAATTGCTTCATATCTCTCTTCCTTCCTATACTATATCCTTATATACAACCTATAATTTATATACTACTAACACCACTACATTAATTACTTCTATGAATCCGGTGTTCATCTTGTTGTGCTAACGAGGTATGGCAACTTGGACCGATGCATAAATGTGCCTGGTCCTACGTTGTAGCTGACTGACTGACTGGAACGAAAAGTTAGATCGATTTCGTGTTCATATTATTTCCTATACTGGATTGCTTACTCTGTTTTCTATCCCCTGCATTAATATAAGAGGTAATTTGTTGGAAATCTAGGTGAGCTTACGTGAAATATGTACTACGCACTTCATTCACGTAATATCCCGTCACATTGGCTAACAACTTGAATCAGTAAGGTGTGGATGATTTGTGCGTGACATAATTGTTCTTTTGGTCAACCATATTATAGCATTCAACAAGCAGTCTTGGCGATGCTTCCAATTACTTAACCCTGCTATATTTTCTTGGGAATATTAACTGGCGATCTCCAAACAAATATCCTAGGGTTTTCCCCCAGTCGTTCCGAATTGATGTTCATGGTCTTGATCTGCCTATGCCGTGAAGATATAGCTCCAATAGGAACTTTATGTTCTCTAATCAATCCTTAACATACTCCATGGCTTTGATCCCTTCACATTCGCACGGATAAAGATCACTTAATACTTACAGCAGCACAGGTATGTTTTGAAGCATACCTCACTTAAAACCAGTGGAACTGTAGGAAAGACCGGTTGTTTATTCCATATAGTTTTCTTTTGGTTGCACCGAGAATTTGTGGAACTACTCACACGCACCACCTAAAGGCATAATATTGCTATCAATCTGGCATGGCGTAGATACGTTGCATAGATTGAATATATGATAGTATGCACAAAACGAGGTTACCTAGAAGTGTATCTGTTCGACCCGTACTGCATAGACAAAATGAAGTCATTTGTAAGGCAGAAATAATATTGTAAGGGGATCACTTGCCGACCAGTTCGATGTTTCCGTTTGGTTGGCGAAAGACTGAGTACGACATGCAGGCTGCGTTTTCTCTTCCGCACATCACCTGTGTCTCTTGGATTCTCGCTGTTTAGAAAAAAGTAGGTCAGCACTATGAGCTGTCAAGTATTATAAAGACGATTTGGATTAAAGTCAAATATTGTGTGGCTCCTTGAGGCCAATCAACAAACGTCTGTGAATTTGCAAGCCTGAAGACGAAATATTTACGGTCGAGTATGGTAATGTAGCAAAATTTCATGGTTGAGAACCGGAAGATTATGCCGTTCGAAAAATTTTCAGATAGAACTAAGGAATCTAAATTTAGCCACGATCCTGTTCAAATAGACACTGAAGATTCCAGACAAATTATCGGTGAACATCTGCTCGACTAGTTACCCTATGGTCAATATTTTTTAGCTTTAAGTCAGTATCGTCATAACGCCATCTGCTAGCTTTGTGTAATTTCTTTTGGCCATTTTCCGGGATCAAGGTTGTTTAGTTGGTTGCAAATCACAACAGTGATTGGACGCTGGATGTAACCCCTGTTGAGGATCTCAGTGTTTCATAGTATTTGCCTATAATGCACAAAGGCCTACCTATTTTTGTCTCTACCTACTCATGACTATCAAATGTCATCCTGATCCGGTAAAGTATTTTGTGACCTATTTAAGATCTCCATCCCGTTTCAAACCCCATTCCACCATATCATGTTTTCTACAAAGATTAGTTTGGCATATATGTGTTTATCCACTTATTTGCATCTTACGTCTTTATTAATTTATGTATAAGCTGACTCATGTTTAACTTCATCAGAGTCGGGATGTAACCTGCTTCAACCCTCTATTCCCACTTCATTCGTCTGCTGCCTATACGTACGTTGGAAAATACGTATCCGAAACACTACTTGTATTCGACTTTTTATCTTCCTTTGTTATTAACGAGAGTAGTCGAAAGAATATATACAAAGTGTTTAAAGATTTAAACACATCATCAGTCAGAGAATGACACTACCACAGCTAAAGGTTATATATTCACCGATGATTATGACAGATAACCGTGACATGTTCCCAATTTACCTTCCGTAAATGTTCAGTCAATAAAAACTGGTTTTTCGTGTATTTTATACCAGAATGAATGATTACTTAGTAAAAACTATATATTTTGAACAGTGAATGGAATTGAACGCATATTCGGTTATGGTCGGAGTTCGTCAGCTACATCTGCTGTGTCCTAGACGAGTTTAACTAGCTTATCAAAAACAGCAAGTAATAGTTTGCGTTATATATATAAAGATATTTTATTCGCTTAGATAAGAATTAGGCAAATTAGTATATAAGAATAGCTATGAATATTTTTTTTAAATAAAGCAATACACCCTATCATTTCCATTTGAAAGTTACCAAAAAACCAATATCACAAACAATAATAGTGCGTTTGTGTGTGTAAAATAAAACCGAATGCACGAGTATAAATTGTACATAATTGCTAAACTGTTAAGCCATGCAATATATATCAGCTGTGATTGTATAACAAAAATACAATATTATACTGTTAAACCCAATGGCAAAATGTCTTTTAGAAGAACTATTAGGATTGAAGTTACAGTAAATACGCTTATTTCAGAGAGGCACCATATCCATAGACTTAAGGAAAAAAGAAACAACTTTCATAGAGAGTACGATTCTAAGAGAAAAAATATTGTGGAACTACAAACAGCTGTTCATGCATCTGTGTGTGTGTTTAATATGCTACACATACACGAAAGTTCATATTAGAGATAAAATATCGCAGATGAAGCATAGAACAAGAACATTGCTTTGTGATGCAAACGCTATGATGCTGGATTTACTGTAATGTAGTATGTGCCACTTAAATCCTCTTGACCACCATGTAATTCATTAAAAAATTATAGGGATCGATATTGGCAGTGAATTAAGCATCTCATTGAGAAGCACGTTCACGCATTTTATCTAATAACTGAATGAGTTGAATATCAAATCTTGGGCGTTTACCAGGATCATCTTTTGTACATAAATCAAATAGACGTACAATTCGACTGTCCATATTAGGTGGAATTGGAAGACGGAGATTTTCTGTAGTTATCTACAAAAACAACATTAAAATAGAAGAGATTCACTATAAATCATACGAAATTCAGGATATTAAAGTAAAAACGAACTGATAGCTATATAATTTACTACGTAGTTTAAAGGTGTTCAATTTCATCTTGGTCTGTATGTTTGCACTAAATGATGGATCGCTTAACCGTATTAGTAACAGTGGTCATTCTGTCTAATCAATCACAAGCAACATAGAATCCGGTACGTACGTGTATCAACCCAAGTTGTCATAACACATCAAAACAGTATTGTAATATAGAATTAACCAGGTGAGTGCCGAAATAGTAAAATAATAACAGTGGTAGTACAGACGATTCAGCACAGAAGATATGATTCGAGAGAAAAGAACAAAAGAAAGTAGTTCTGAAATCAGGAATCTAAGGGAAAACAAAGATTTCTCTATTGGTCAAGTTACACTGGAACATTATTCTCCCCGTAAAGCATTTTTAAGTACAGATGGATGGTGGCTATCAGTGTAATTCAGGACACCCGTCTCGTCTTATTTGAGACTCGTCAACTGGATGCACTTGCATCATAGAGTTAAAGTTCACTGTGGGACTCGAATAAAATACTGTTCGCTTCAAGCACTATCGCATCATCTGCTAAACTACTCAGTCCAGATAACCAATAGCGTGTGCAATGGAGTGAAGTTTTAACTCATTTTTGTATTGGTTGTTTGAATCTTACCATTGATGTTAGGGACTGCAACTGATCAGTTTGCCAATAAAATCTACTTTGAGAGTTTATCAATCAATCATAACAAAATGTTAAAGCCTAATTTATTATCAAAGAGCATGGTAGTTGAACTATATGACTGATCTATGATTAGTTATTTTTAATCTGGCAGTCACAATATTAAAGGCAAGAATGATTAGAATCTATTTATACAAGAAAATAAGGATCGTAACTCAAAATTCTAGTAACTGATTTTGTAGCACATTAACAGATGATACTTGTATTTGTAATATCATTAAAATGCAACTGTGTATTCAACTGACAATTTCATAATAAGATAGAGTACAATGATACTGTAGTGTGTGCTAGTGATGTTGACAGATATAAGTAGTGCATATCACCAATCGAAAGTGGAATGCCTAGTGGTAGAAGGTTGATAAGATTGAAGAGAAGTGAATGAGGACAGAGAGTGATCGGTGTGGTAACAAAAAAACAATCAAGTCTCAGACAATTGATTGACATTTTGCAAGTGAAGTATTTACTGTATGGTTCTCAAATATTAGTTAGAGATTCTGTAATTTTGTAATAAGATGTAATCGATTGTCCCCACTAGTGTGTTCTCGTTCACTACTATACCACCATTCAAAATTATAAAATATTATCTTATCCCATAATGAATATAATTTACTGAATTTTAATTAATTTTAAAAAGTGTGTTTAATGAAATTATTCTATTAGAACATCACTACAGGTGATTGATAGAGAAACTATATTACCGAAATCAACGATAATTGAAAAGAATATAATAATAAATGATTTCAAATTGATGCTCAGTAGTTGACTAAAATCAGTGCGTGAACTTAGAGACTTTTCATTTGGAACTATTTCATGAATAAGGTGTACTTAAAGATTCAATAGAAGTGTTGTTAAATGATAACAATTGAAATGCTTTTTCTCTTAAACAACATTGAAAAAATAGAACCTTTCAAAACATGTTACGTTACACTCCGAATCTAATTAGCACAAAAGTCTTTTAATGTTGCTAGAATAGAAACAGTATACTGAAATTCATGTGTGTATATATTCATGGTTAGTAAATATAACATTAGAACACATAGGACCAAGTAATATATTACACTATAAAGCACCTAATCAAAGAAAAGTAGATGACAGTGAGGTATGTTTAGCACTAACCTACAACCGGTTGAATGGTAGATGCGATTACATAAACAGTCAGATTTTTTGCCTTAATTCATATTTTTATTTCCATAAATTAAAAACGACCGAATTTTTTAAAAAAAAACATTTACACAGACTCATTAAATATTTATGCCAGAGGTTTAAAAAAAATTCTTATGGTCATTTCCGGTTTTCGTTTTCTTCCTCGAAGGTAAAGAACCGATATGATGGATGATTTAAAATATCTTTTCCTCTCTCTGCGGCATACTATATTAACACAATAATATTATAATAAGACTGGTCTGTGTAACCGAGTTCATAGAACAGCAAGATTGGATACTCAAACGGCATACAATATAGAGACTAAATCACGTTATATCATATACACAATTTACGACCACGTATAGAGAACCAAACTGAATTCTAGACAATACTTTACTCCACAAAATTACAAGCAGTCAGTCACAATGAGTTCAGAGTAGCAAACAGTAAGTTAAAAAGAAATTACATAATTAATGTTCAGTAAATTGAGTGACTGTTTGTACAGACTCAGTGACAAATCATATTTACCTTCACTACCACATACCAAGAAGTTACACCTAAAAAAATTAGAATCCTAAAATTCTGCAGGACTTCTCATCATAACTTTTGTACATAGAATGTCATCCAACTGGTTGAAAATTAGATGATTATTAAAAGTGTTTAGCTTTTGTTATACAGTAAAGCATTTGAGTCTTAAAATGTGGAATTATACAATTTATCCAGAAGATTAACGTTATCTGCAACATTGTTCACTAATAGTCTTATACTCAGTACTTTTTGTCATTCAGCGAGTTAGATTGTAATTTTCATAAAATGATATTTCAAACTTTACTTTTTAGTATGTTTTTCATTTAACTTGTTCATCCATGCTTCACTAAATACATTCATATTAGACAGTTATATATAACTTGGATTTTTCTATCATCCATTATCTAAAAATTTCTGTCTGTCATGTAACTAAACAATTAATATATTGTAGATTTCTTTAAAACAACTGTCAACCAATATCAAAGTCAAAATCTTCAACACAAACGTCAAGATAGTTCTCATGTACGGAGCCGAAACCTCGAGAACTACTACAACCATCACAAAAAGTACACGTATTATAAACAATTGTCTACTCAAGATACTCAATGTCCGTTGGTCGGACACCATCAGCAACAACCTACTATGGGAGAGAACAAACCAAATTCCAACTGAAGAGGAAATTAGGAAATGACACTGGAGGTAGATAATACATACATTGAGGAAATCACCAAACTGAATCACGAGGTAAGCGCTTACCTGGAATCCTGAAAAGAAACAGAAAGGCGGGGAGCCGAAGAACACACTACGTCGGGAATTGAAAACAGACATGAAAAGGATGGATAGCCACTGGAAACAAGTAGAAAGGATTGCCTAGAACAGAGTTGGATGAAGAATGCTAGTGGGCGGCCTATGATTCTCCACGAGGGGTAACAGGTGTAAGTAAGTAAGATTTTTTCAAAGTTGCCGAAGATAAGACTGACAATACTCTCTTATCAATTAACTGAAACTGTCTACACAATATCGATTTTAAAAATTTACAGAGAATACATAAAAGGGATCTAAAGTAGATTTGTAGATTAAAATGAAAGAGATAAGTAAGATAAGTGTTTGTCTTCAGTATAATTAATATTTTAGAAATGATTTATCCAATTTATAATTTATATGAATATTTCATACACACAGTATTTATACTTGTCATCTTGAAGAGAACAGAAACCGAAGATTTGAGCAGAATAGCATAAATTCATTTTTATTTCATTTGGTTCTCCTCATATGTGTTTGTAAATTTGTGTGCCTGTCAAAGAAGCTAGATTGGCTGAACAGAAAGGAGGGTATATCTTAGATCTTTTTGAACATGTTCGAAAAAGCCTTCGAAAAAAGGAAGAATTACTTCAAATAGCGCAATCGGTAAACATCTCTTGGATACTGGAAGTCAGGTCGATATCTTGCAATCTTTCAAGATGACTAATAAATAGCCAAGTTGCAGTCTTCTGATGTTTGTTGAAGCTGCTGTTATCACGTGTCAGAAACCTGTTGGATCTGTTCAAAAGATGGCTATTATTCTTTCTTTGCCTTCGTGATAAATGTTCTTCCAGTGTGCCACAAATGTCCTGGTACGGCTGAGAATGGGGAGAGTCTGCTCTCCCTCTCGAAATGCTCTCACATGTCCACGCGTATATAGCCTCTGTCAGGGAATTCCTACTCACTGCCTTCTCGTGGCGGGGGTGTTGTTCACAAAAGTGAGAGGACGAAAAGCGAATGTCCGGCGCTTTAACCGGGTTGGTGGATGTGGAGGATCCACCTAGGAGAGTTGGAAAACCCTGATTCCAAACCAATGGTGCACATGGGCTGGCTCCAGTATCCTGAAGGAACGAATGGCGTATGAACCAACTGTTGGTCACCGGCTACCATGGGACTGTATCTCCTTACGATGCTCTTGCACTGCCTTGTGGACTAGACCTTTAGGTCAAAAGCTCCGGGTGTGGCCCCCTAAAAAAACCACCTGCTTCAGTTTGGGCACCCGGGCAGTATCACAGCCCTCACACAAATCAAATGAGATTTGTGCGGCGCATATGTATCTGGTGCCCCCTTGTACCAATATTTATGTGTTTAAATAATAATAAATAAATTTCCCCAGTGTATCATCACGTCCTTTTATTTTGACTGTCTTGTAGGTCAGTAGTCTTACTTTGACTAAAGTAACTATACTATTTTATCTTTACTTATTACCATTGATTACTCATCACGTAACCACTTATTTCTAGCCCTTTGGACTTTTACTATTATCAATGTTGTGGAATATTCTTTTATATAGGGTATATACATGCAATATTTTATTCAGTCCAGTACCCCTTCCAACCATATAGAATAATGAAGCCTAGTAGACCCTTCTGGTGCTGCAGCACGGCACAACTACCGGGGTGGGATAGCCGTTTCTGCAAAATCACTCAGAACCATTACATAACACTCACACAGAACCCATTTTTTGTTTATATTTTTATTTGGGCAGACTCTTTTTTATTTTACCTTTCTTATTGAACCCTCAATAGTTATGCAATGACTCACTGTAGCACTCGTAATCGTTTTTTGGGTATTGGTGGAGTGGTTGATTAGGCCGATCTCGACCACCCACGATTAACCGCTCATGTTATTTCATGGAAACAGTCCCATGATCCGGGAGGCACGACGAGGTTCAGTCCAGTAAATTTATTTACACCCTTGCTATATTTCACTGATGTGTCTTCAAAATAAATTCCAACTAATATTTTTCATGTAAGTAATATTATCAATCACTACCAAATATGTCTCCTTTATTGTAAATGACTTGACCTTGTTACTATAAACAAACGTCTATAAATAAGTAATTTCACGTCTACTATGTTAACAAATTCGTGTAAACTTCAATCATTCGACAAACGAAACACATTAATCTAGTCAACATAAAATGAATTATAATTCAATAAGTAATATCTATTGTTGGACATTCACAAACAAACATTAGACTACTTTAAAAAACCTTTGATTTAATAAAAATTCTGATTACCAAAGAATTCGGAGAAAAAATCTTCTAATCATTCAAAAACAATACTTAATATGACTGAAAACTATGCTATAATAAATCATCGATAGAAATAATACTTTTTATCAAAGACCAGTCCTTTTAACCAACAAAAATTCCATAAATATTTCTGAACACCGTTGGATGCCGGCTCAGTGGTCTATCGGTTAAGTGGTCCCGCGCGAGACTGGTAAATCCTGGGTTCGAATCTCGCGACGCGGGATTGTGGATGCGCACTGCTGAGGAGTCACACGATGGGACGAAACGGCCGTCCATTGCTTCCAGGTTTTCCATGGTGGTCTAGCTGCGATTGACTCATGATTTCAACTACATATAAAAATTTCTGAATTCCTTAAAAATTAATAGAATAATCCTATTTACCTTCTCTCTCTCCCTATATATATATATATATATATATATATATATATATATATATATATATATATATATATATATATATATATAACAATGCTTTTGTGGAGTGGTGGCTTCCACTTTGAACAGCACTCGGGGTTAGGATAATTAACTGCTAAGAACAGTCAAAGTTCATGTGTAAACAATAATAACTAAGCAATAATTACCAACAATCGACAATTTGTCAGTCAATTGTCAAGAAATTCTAACGGCTCACTTTTTCTAAAGTCTGTAGTGTTTAATACAAAAAGACAATCTATTTCCGAGATAATAACCGTTGAATTTAGTTTAAAGCTGATTTATAAGCTTATTAATCAGTTATCTATAAGGAAATTTTTTTGTACAAATTGATGGTATTTTCCATTGAGAAGAAAAATTGACTTAAAAAACTATTGAAAATCAATAAATAACCGTCCCTGATTTCCCCTAGTTCTTTCGTGATAACATTCAAATTCTTAATGATAACTAAATAAATGAATTAGCGCCAAGATTTCATATAAACTGAAGATCCTCATTCTGTATACATGATTATCATTGCAAAAACAACAACTATTATCATACATTATTGATGAAAAGATTTTGAGGAAAAACAAACAAATTGGGTACCATATCTACAGATAGATCTCCATCATCCTATAAAGACAAACTAAATATGTTGGCTATGGTGAAATATAAAATACACTACATATACAAATAAAGAAGATTAATTTAACATGGATACATCCGTAAAATTACATATTTGTAAACATTTAATCAAATTCAAAGGAAAATCTAATTTTTTAAAATAATAAATGATAATGGTTTAAAATTACAAAACACTAATTTAAAAAAAGAACAAACCAAAACATACGACAGAAGGGAATTAGGTTCAAGGAAGGATCAAAGGTTGGACGTATCGTTTTCGCACGCAGAGTTCAAGCTTGAATAGGTGGATCGCTAATGCCTCAGCAGTGCATAAGTTTTTGATTCGACCAGAATCCGATCCAGTTCTTTTGATTGTGTAGGTTATTTTAAAAAAAGACTCTTTCGGAGCGACGTGTCCACAGTTGATTAGATGCTCCTGTATTGAACTGGTAATTGTTTTGCATTCTCTGAGATGCGTCTAGAAAGTGATTTCTTTGTGCGCCCAATGTAATCTGTCCCGCAGGAGCAAGTATATTTATAGACGCACATTGATGTGACCCAAAGCAGAAGTTTATCCTCAACACACCCGTGAATTGGAGGCCGGCTTTAGAAGACAATGCAGAACTTAGCTGAGTAGAAGGTTTTATTCAGGGATTTTGAAATCCATTTATTCAAGATTTCAGCAGCCGTATCTCTTTTCAATTTGATATTTATAAAAAGTTTTCTTTAGAACTGTTGGTGCTTTTTCAGGATGTTGTCTATGTGTTAAGTTCCCATCGACGAATTTAGGTGGATAACTATTTCTGATGAGTATCTGTCGGAGTTGAAATAGTTTTTC